GACGTTCTTCCATCAACTCACAAGCTGGGTTCCACGCTTGGAAAGAAGAGAGGGTCGTCGGAGAAATTTTTCTTGTTTTGAGCAAAGCAAGTGGCACGCCATTTCATCTGCCACATGTCAAGGAGATTTTTTGGGATAACAATCTCTTTTTGGCACGCCCGGTGGGACCTCCTGCTGGCGATTGTCTATCAAGAAAAGTTTTTTTGATCCTCTTTTTGCTTTTCCTGGGCATAAAGCAGCCATAGCCATGCCTAGGAGAGTTGGAAAAGAAGTTGCACAACAAGTGGAAGTGGCTCCCGTGAGTCCAAGACATTCTGAAGGTGAAAATAGTCCGGAGCATCTTCCACCTATTTCTCCCTTGGCAAATCGATCATATGGCAATCCCATATATCACAATGATGATGAGGAGAAAGTTGATTCTGCTGAGTCAAGCAGTAAAATATCTCAAGAACTTCAGCAGATAAGGAAGCTACAAGAAGAAGCCAATCAGAACATGGAGCGTAGTCTACAAAGCTTTCTACAAGCCCAACGAAAACATTCATATCATTTCACTCAATGTTTGAATGTTATTGAAAGGGCCATTCATGACAATTCTCGAGCTATTCGAGAAGATGTAGCAGAAAGTCGCAGAACCTTCACTGCAGCTTCTGAGAGAACCATGGAACATGTTCGACAGCAACAAAATGTTCCAAGGCAACCCGTACCTCCAGCAATGGAATTACCACAGCAAAATCTTCTAGATCCTTTGCCCGAGGGGCATGGGGGGCATATTAATCAGCCACATGTGGTGCAGCAAATGCCCAATGCTCAAAATAATGCTCTTGGTGCTGGCCAGGTGCAGTTCAATAGGCAGCAGCAAAACAATCCTGCTGGTAGCATCCTTGGATCACAAGATCCTGTGGAAGCAGCATTCCGTGCAGCTGAGCAGTTCAACGCCAATCAACAAAGATATGTACCCCCTGCACGGCGTCCAAATGTTGTCCCACAGCCCAATTTGCAGAATAATGTTTTTCAACCACTCGGGCTATAAGCAGCAGCTCTTCCCTTGGATAGAAATCAACTGATTGATCTAGTCCAGGAGACATATGGTCCAGCTCTGAGACCATTGGTTCGTCCTTCCTATCACAAGCCGTATTCAGATTATATAGATCG